AGCAGCAGGCGGGGAACCTTGGCTTCCTCCATCACTGGAGCAAGCAAGCCTCCTGTTCCCTTCAGCTGCCTGGCTGCCGGCCGCCATCTTGGTTGGCAGTTAATTTGCGTGTCGGAGGTACGGTTAATTACCATGTCTATTATTAGATAGGACTAGAGGCCCAGTGCATGAAAATTCATGCACTGGATTGGGGGAGGGATCCCTTCCCCAGCCTGCCCCCTCTCACAGTTTGGCAGCCTTCAGGGGTGGGAGGCGACACGACGATTGGGGAAGGCGACGCTCCCATCACACCTCTGCTGCTGCCACTGCCGGCAGTGCAAGCCTTGGCTGGCTCTGGTTACCTGAGCCTCAGGCAGTCCTGGCCAGCTGGGGGACTGAGGGGACTGGGCACTGCCATCTTGTGGCTGTGGATGCCACCATCATTGAGGGCTAGGCAGTCAATTAGCATATTCCCTCCTTATTGGCTGTGAGTGTCTCCATCTTTGAGGGCAGGGCAGTCAGCATATTCCCTCCTTATTGGCTGTTGGCGCCGCCATCGTTGTGATGGTGTGAGTGTCCATTAGCATATTTCTTCTTTATTAGATAGGACTAGAGACCCGGTGCACAAAATTCATGCAGCAGGGGAGGGGGGCGTGCCTCAGCCCAGCCTGCACCCTCTTGCAGTTTGGGACCCTTTGGGGGGATGTTTTCCTCCTGGCTTAGGCCCACTACCCTGGGGCAGTGGGCCTAAGTCGGCAGTTGGACATCCCTCTCACAGTCCAGGACCCCTCACTCCTTCCACCCTCCTGCTTGCTGCTCCTTCTCACTCAGCTCGCTGCTCCTTAGCACTGCCACGGAGGTGGGAGAGGCTCCCACCACCACCACTGCGCTTTTCAGTCAAGAGCCTGGGTTCTGGCTGAGCGACACTCCCCCTGTGGGAGCACACTGACCACCAGGGGGCAGCTCCTGCATTGAGCGTCTGCCCCCTGGTGGTCAGTGCACATCATAGCGACTGGTCGTTCTGCCATTGGTCACTTAGGCTTTTATTATGTAGATAAATTAATATAGCTCTTATTTTAAGAACCCTTTTTAAAATATGCATTAATTTTTATACATACATTATCTAAATTATGTGCCCAGTTTGCCCTCTGCTGTTCTCTTTGTACCACATTTGACTTTTTAAATTTCTTGTTTTCATTCATTATTTATTTGACTGGAACACATTTTCTAGTAGTGTTTTTCAGATTAAGTATGTAAGTAGTATACTCGGTGAGACGTTGCATGTCTGAAACTGCCTTTCTTTGCTCTTATATACTAGTATAAATTAGAGGCCTGGTGCATGAAAATTCAGGGGGTCCCTCAACCCAGCCTGCACCCTCTCTCAGTCCGGGAGCCCTCAGGGGATGTCTGACTGATGGCTTAGGCCTGCTCCCCACGGGGAATGAGCCTAAGCTGCAGTCGGACATTCTTAGCACTGCGGAAGAGGCGGGAGAGGCTCCTGCCACCGCCGCTGTGTTCGCAGCCGTCAGCCCGGCTTGTGGCTGAGCGGAGCTCCTCCGGTGGGAGCACACTGACCACCAGGGGACAGTTCCTGCATTGAGCGTCTGCCCCCTGGTCATTAGTGCACATCATAGTGACTGGTCATTCCCAGTTGTTCTACCTTTAGGGTCAATTTGCATGTTACCCTTTTATTATATAGGGTGGAATTCTTTCAAAACTCTAAATATTGCTTGTTGCCTTTTAGTATTTAATGTGACAGCCAGGATGTCTAATGTGAGTCTGGCTCTCCTTCCTTTGTAGGCAGCTTAATTTTCCTGTCTCTAAGCTGTAAACTTTTCTTTTTCTCTTTAGAATTCAGAAATTTCACCAGGATATGTCTCGGTATGTGTTTCTTTTCAATATTCGTACTGACCTTTATTGGGACTTCGAAGTCTCAACTCTGTTTTTAGCTCAGGTTTTCCCCCCCTCCATTATTTCTTTAATTACTGCTTCTTCCATCCAATCCAGTCTCATGCTGGATGTTGTATCTTCTGGATTTATTTTCCTATATTTTATCTTTCTTTCATATTTTTTGTTTGCTTTTCTACTTTATATTCTGAGTAAATTCCTCACTATACTTCTTTAATTTACCATTTCAGTTTTCATCATTTTTCCTTCTAGTAGTCTTTTATTGTTGGTTTCATTATTGCAGTAGTCCTCCCTTATCTGCAGGGGATAAGATCTAGGGCCCCCAGTGGATGCCTGAAACTATAGATAGTATTGAACCTTATATACACTATGTTTTCTTCTATACATACATTCCTTTTCGCTTAAAAGAAACACTCTACAGCTTCTTTTTGACATATTTGAATTTCAACATCACTGCTCTTATGCTTTGGGGTCACTTAAATAAAATAAAAATTACTTGAACACAAGCACTGTATGATGCTTAGCAGTTGCTCTGATAACTAAGATGGCCACTAAGTGGCAAATGGGTGCATAGCATATACAGTGTGGGTATGCTTGACAAAGGGATGATTCATGCCCCTGGTGAGATGGTGTGAGGCTTCTTCATGCTGCCCAGAGTGGTGTGCATTTTGACATTTATGAATCATTTATTTTTGGAATTTTCCATTTAATATTTTCAGACCACTATTGACCAGAGGTAATTGAAACTGTAGAAAATAAAAATGTAGATAAGGAGAACTGCTGTACTGGTTATTTGCAAGTGTGCTTTATTCTCTCTGCCTTTTTTGTAGCAATTTCTCTTTATTAATGCAGTACACCTTCAGATCTCTTAAATCTCACCGGTTACTTAGTAGGAGTTCAGAATTTTCACCAGGATATGTCTTGGTATGTGTTTCTTTTCAATATTCTTAGTGGTAGATCCACTTTATTTTATTTTTGTTAATCCTCACCCAAGGATATTTTTCCATTGACCTTTTAGAGAGAGTGGAAGGGAGAGATAGGGACAGAGAAAGAGGCACATCGATTGGTTGCTTCCTGCACCTACCCTGACCAGGGCTGGGGATTGAGTCTGCAACTGAGGTATGTGCCCTTGACCTAAATCAAACCCAGGACCTTTCAGTCCTCCGGCCAACAGCCTATTCACTGAACCAAACCAGCTAGGGTGATGCTCACCTTATGTAGCATGTAGGTGAAGCTACCTGTCTGTTTTGGGGAAAGTTTCCAAACCTTTTTTGTACTTTATTGCTTGGAAGCTCTTCCAGCTGGTTTTCTAGAAGTAAGCCAGAAAATGGCACTGCTTGGCCAAATTGTTTTCTTTTCAAGCCCCTGCTTAGCTAGAATTCTGCCATCTAGCCCTCACACCTGGAGGTCTTTGGGGTTAACCTATCAATTTCAGTTCCACTCTGGTAGTTCATCAGACTTAAGAAGATTTCAAGTGCTACCTGTTTAGGAAACAATTTAAATAAATGTTGCTTGTAGAGTAAGTTTCCATTTGCCATTTCTCATTCATTCATTCAACAAATATTTATTGAATAACTGCTTATGTCAGGAAACATCATGGAACTTACATTTTAGTAGAAAGACTAAAGTAATAAAACCTTTTCCCCTACTGCGTGAGAATTTGACCTTTGGTTAACTTTCTAGGTCTGTTCCCTGGAAACCTGGTAGTGTCAACTATATTCCTAGGTAACACTGTTATGGTAAAAATGATCTCTGAGAAAATTGCATGTAGACTAGAAGGAAATCTAATGATGCAGACCCCATAGCTTTGGGCTCCATTTAGTACAGCGATTCTTATAACGGAGCATATCCCTTGTGGGGACCCTGGAAGGAATGCCTATGGGTTCCATAGTGTATGGGTTGTTAGCACCTATGGAACATGATGCTTCTAAGCCAGGATGGTCTCCACACTTACCTCATATAGATCTCATTTTGCACTCAACCTGGCAGCTTCAGAGTCACAGCTCCCTGACAGCTCTGTGGGCTGCTGAGCGTACTGCTGCAAGGACTCCCACAGAGGAGGACCATGACACTACACTGCCTGCAAGCTGTACTCCTTTGCTATATTCTTAGTGATTCTGGTGCCAAGGGTGGCCTCTGAGAATCTTTGATTTTGAACGTCATTGAGCCTAATGGACACTGCAGTGTTTTAGTCGGGTCTTGGGATCCTGGCATATATTGCCCCCTAGGTCCATTAGCAGTCCTGTATTCTCCTAGAGGTAAATTTTTATAGTGTAATATGCTCATTCTCCTTTCATGTAGGCGCAGGATTCTTGGACTTTGGTCCCCACTCCTCGGTTCATACATTTCACAAGCAAATAACTTTTTTTCCTTTTATCCAGAGTTGACCTCCTATTTGGGATGTGTGAAAAGTTTCTACAGGAAGTGGATTTTTTTCAGAGGTAAGTATATTCCCTCTCTTCTAGTTAATTAAATCTTAGTTATGCAGAGAATATCATTTATAGAGTGACAAGAGCGATCACAAGCCAGAATTCTTGGTTTAGCCCATGTAGTCAACCTATTATCTGTGCCATTGTACCCTCATTAGTGTATTTTCTTTAGTGGTATATAAACCTCTTTAACCATAGCCTCAAACCTAAACATACAACATTAGAATAATAAAAACATCCAGAATCATTTGAATTCAGCACTCAGCTGTACCATAAAAAGACAAGTATTATGTGGAAAACTCACAAACTCTTGTTGAAAAGTCACACCTTGTCTGCTTTTAAATCAGTGTTTACACTCGCATATTTCTCTATAATCTACAAAAACTTATTCCAAAATAAAAATAACTTTTATTTTGGAGAATAGTTTTCTCAGTTCTGTATGATACAAATCAGTTAAAACAGATGCAGTAGATGAGTGGGAGTCCAGTTAGTGACCAAACCTGTGGTGTGCTGGCAATATAATACCAGGAGGGAGGCATTTATAGGATTTGAAAGCACTCCATTAAATCTGATGGTTCATTCTGCCATCCCTTATCCCTACCACCATGAACTTTACCAAACCTGAATTTTATATGATTGAACTTTCCAATTCTTTTTCATTTGGGTGATGATAGCTTCCTATAGGGCTGGGTTGCAATACCACCCTTCACCCATAGGTGCTGTTGTCTAGCAAATGAAGTCAAACTCAGCTCTCTAAGATTCTACCTTCAAATCTGAACTAAGTTCATGCCTCTTGGTTTTAGGTTGTCTAAGGTAGTCTGTTCTTGCACAGTTGGGTTGAAGAGCTTTTTGGAAAGGTGACAACTTCTAAATTGCTTAAGTTCCCCATCTGGTTAGAGCTGTACATTTTTCTTAATTTAGTCTGTGAGTCCCTATACTGATGTCAACTCCTCAGTGATTTTATTTTTTTTACTAACCCTTCCAAAAGGCATAAGTACTGTAGAATTGGTCAAAGCTTGGAATAAGTTAATTACCTTTTTTAAGCCTCAGTGAAATATCCTCTGAGTCTGAGTGTTCCTACCGCTTGAATATAAGCTCATTAAGATAGTCCTTTTCTTCCTTTTCACTCACTGTTATGTCCCCAGTGTCTAGAATAGTACTTGGCATTTGATAAATCCTAAAGACATATTTATTAAATTAACTAATAAATCTATAACATCAAAAAATAATTCTAACAGTGCACAGGATTGCTGGGAAAATTAAGTAAGGTAATATAAAATACTTAGGAGTATACCTGGCATATAATGGGTTATTCATAAATGAGGCTGTTATGAGGACCATGTCAGGAGGGCATAATTAGCTGGCTGTCTCAGTCGGGAACCATGAGCTCCTTCAGTTCCTTACTTTTGGGCCTTGCAGATATTTGGGGCTCAGCTTGTGGCAAAATGAATGCATAGTCATTTGCTTCTGTTTGTCCCTCCAGGTGTTTCATCACTGATTTGCCCCACTTGCAAGACAGCTTTGTGGACAAACTCCTTGACCTTATGCCCCGACTCATAACATCCAAACCTGCAGAAGTGGTCAAAATTCTACAGACCATGCTGCGGCAGAGTACCTTCCTGCACCTCCCGCTTCCAGAGCAGGTCAGGGTCTGTGTCATAGCCCTTCAGGCGAAGTCTGGCCAGACAGTCAGAGCTGCTCACCTTGATGAGCTTTCATGTTTGGAGCCACGGGGCTAGGGCCTTTCTTCTGATTGGCTCCCACATGCCCACCCATTAGATAAGGAGACAGAAAAGCAAGGATCTTTTTTGTTACCAGGGATGACCTGACTTTAGAATCATATTTTCTTCTTGTTTACAGATTCACAAAGCCTCAGCCAACATTATTGAGCCAGCAGGCGAGTCAGACAACCCTTTGCGGTTTACATCTGGGTTAGTGGTGGCCCTGGATGTTGATGCAACTCTGGAACATGTGCAGGATCCTCAGAGCACTGTGAAGGTCCAGGTCTGTCCGTGTTTGGTTCTCATAGAGCTTCTATACTGAGTGTGTGACAAAGCATTTAACTTTAGCACCCCCCTTGACTGGCCTGTGTGGCTCAGTGGTTGAGTGTTGACTTGTGAACCAGGAGGTCACAGGTTTGATTCCCAGTCAGGGCACATGCCTGAGTTTTAGGCTTGATCCCCACTGAGGGGTCTGCAGGAAGCAGCCAATCGATGATTCTCTCTCATCATTGATGTTTCTATCTCTCTCTCCCTCTCCCTTCCCCTTCCCCTCTGAGCACAATAGGGAGAGAGAGATAGAAACATCAACGATGAGAGAGAATCAACCATCGGCTACCTCCTGCACACCCCCTATTAGGGATCAAACCCGCAACCCAGGCATGTGCCCTTGACCTGAATTGAGCTCGTGACCCTTCAGATGCTCTATCGACTGAGCCAAACCAGCTAGGGCTAAAAATATATTTAAAAAAATAACTTTAGCACCACTTTCATCTCCACCTGAGGATGGAAACTGGGGAGAAAGAAGAGAGGAGTCTTTTTGGAAAAGGGCCTGGGCTTGAATCCCATCTTACTTTTGAGTGTGGTCTGGTGCAAGTTACCTTAAATGCTTCTACAGCTAACAGACAGGAATAGCTGACATTGAAATGAAATGATGCATACAAAGCCTCTGGTGCCCACTAAGGATTCACTAAATGACAAGGCCTTTTCTAATCTTACTAGGTGAGGATAAGACTTGATCTTTTCAGGGCTTCAAGCAAGCTACAGCAAAGTTCTTTTCAGCTGTCAGTGGGTCAGCTTGGCGAACAAAACTTGTAGGTGGGAAAAAAGCAGTCGTAGGGAGTATTCTTTTCCAAGTTAGAGATAGATATATTAGAGACATGAGAGATGTATTAGAGGTACTAATCAGTTTAGACAGTCTGCAATTAAGCCCCATAAAAAGCAGTACCCATTTATCCATCCATCCATTCTTCCTTCTTTCCGTGCATAATGTTTACTCTATTGTACATGCTAAGTGCTAGTGTTGCAAAGGTAATCATGTCAGTATTCCTGCCTTCAGGATGCTCAGTTTCAAGGATAGATAGACAAATGGTTCTAGCCAAGAACCTAGAAGTATAGAGAGAAAATTACTTTTCCTCCCCTACAGGGTTATTCAATTTTTGACGTGTAAAAATTTGCAATATACTTAAAAAAAATTTTGGAAAATATTCTGGAGAGGCTCTTATTTTGGAGAGTGTGGTGGAGGCTGAGGAAAAAAAGGCTTTGTGGAGATGTAAGGTCTGAAAGGATGAATAAGAGCAAAGGATAAGGGCAAAAGGAGGAATTCTGGACAGGAAGGATATGAAGAAAAATAGGGATACAAGCACAGCAACTGTAATCAGGACAGAAAAACAGCCTGGAGCAGGCAGGGAAGAGCTAAGGATGAATCAGGAGATGATATTTGCTTCTGGTGTCAGTAGAGGAAAAAAACTTCTAGCTTCCCCGCAGGAATTATTATAAATCATGAGAACTTCAGAGAACGAGTTCTGAACTGGCTGTGAAGTCGTGTTGCAGTTGGTTTTTTATTTTATGGATACCCCTCTTGAATCCCCTAACACACACACACACATATTAGTGGTTTTCACCCTAGCTGTACTTTAAAATTATTTTTATTTTTCATTTTATTTATTGATTTGAGAGAGAGACTGGAAAGGAGAGAGAAACATCTATTTGTTGTTCCCCTTATTAATGCATTCATTGGTTGATTCTTGAGTGTGCCCTGACTGGCAGTTGAACCCTCAGCCTTGGTGTATCGGGGCGACGCTGAGCTACACAACCAGAGCCCCCTAGCTGCACTTTAGAATTATTCAGAAACCATTAAGAAGTGCTGATGTACAGGCCTCAGTCTACACCGGTTAAATCAGAATCCTAAGAGAAGGTCCCATGGGTACCAGATTTTGTTTGTTTTTGAGCTCATAGGTGATTCTAATGTATACAGTTTCACATTGTTCCTGAAAAAATGTTCACTGACCAACTCAGCATGAATGAGATTGTAGAAAGACACTTAAGGGTCATCTGCACTGGAAAACCCCTTCCAGAGCAGCTCCATTACACGCATGGCCAGACTCTGCAGTCGGGGAGGTGGGAAACACTGCCTGGTCATGAGGCGGCTCTGCTGATTGCTGAGTGCTGTCCGGTCCAGCCATCGGGCCTGAACAATGCTCCTGTTCTGAACAGAGCTTAGCTGCTGGGGATGTAGCAGTGAATACCACTGAGATTATGTCACGATTATATTCTCATTTAAAATCGCGTATATCAGCTCTTTAAAGCAGAATGTGCAGGAACGTCATTCAATCACACTTCGGTGAGCCCAATTCAGGCCTACTAGATTACACCTTATGATAGAGGAGGTGTGATATTTTTTATTTTTTAGGTTTTCTGAAATTCAGCATATAATTCATAGTGGCTGTTTTCTTCCCTTGACCTACTTGGGCCACAGATTTATAAGCTGCCCTTGGGAGCAATGAATGAAGGCTTCCAGTGGCCATTTCACAGAATGGTCAGGGCCTTTCACCCCGGGCAGATTTGCTGAGAACTCTGGGAAATTCTGCTACCTTTATCATTCTCTTTCCATGCTCAATACTGTTTCAGCCCTCCCTGTCCCTCCTTAAAAAAAATGAGCCCTGGCTGGTTTGGCTCAGTGGATAGAGCATCGGCCTGCAGACTCAAGGGTCCCAGGTTCGATTCCAGTCAAGGGCATGTACCTTGGTTGCGGGCACATACCCAGTGGGGAGTGTGCAGGAGGCAGCTGATTGATGTTTCTCTCTCATCGATGTTTCTAACTCTCTATCTCTCTCCTTTCCTCTCTGTAAAAAAAATCAATAAAATATACTTTTTTAAAAAAATGAAACCCAGGGAGCATTTGAGATATTGCTTCCCAACAATTTTCAGTTTGGTGCAAATCTTACAAAAATTTAAAAAAATTAAGCCCAAGTATTGTCCTTAAAGATACAAAGAATCAGGAAGCTGGGATACCTGCATCTTTTTTCTGTAATAGATTTGGGGCCGGGAGATATACTAGTAAGTAGAAGCTTTAAGAAGAAGGGTACAAAGGGGCGCTAAGATCTATGAAGATATGAAATGAGGTTATGGGGCAGGAGCTGAGACACACCTAGTTTCAAACTGAAAGACCCATGCAGTTCCCTACTTTGCCTATCAGTATATTTAAATAGTGTTGGTCCTATGTGGTTCCAGGATAAGCTTCATTTGTTCATCTAGTTCCTGTGTACGCTGTGCAGTGTAATAGGCCCTTTCCACAGACAGCTGTGGGGCCCCCTGAGATGCTGAGGAAAGAACGCTGGCAGTTTGTGAGATTTGAAAAACTGGCCAGTGATTAGAGCCATCGCTTCATGAGCACTGTCTCTGTAGAAAGGGACAGACAAACTACTTGTAATCTCGTGAAGAGAATACAGCTACAAAATCACTCTTAATGCTTGGTGGATGGTCATGGCTGCTGGGACACAAAATGACTCAGAGGCAGGAGGGAGAGAGTCATCCTGGTGGGCTCCTGGGAAGGCTTTTCCTATCACTAGGATTAATATTTTCCCTATCTAAGACACCTTATTCCTCTTACTTGTTCACCATGGATTCAGGCCACATTACCAAACACTGCTTTGTGCTAGGGCTGGGGCTCTAAAGATGTCAGCAGTGTGGCCCTCTGTTCAAGGAGCAGTCTTTTGTGAGGGCTCTTGTCATCTCTCTTTTCCTCTTGTTATGGGGTTCACAGCAGATGTCACCAGCAATTTTCTTAAAAGCTCATGGCTCTTTCTGCCTCTTTTTCTCATTTCTGTTACCTCGTAGGTCTTATATCCAGATGGCCAGGCTCAGATGATCCACCCTAAGCCTGCAGACTTCCGGAATCCTGGCCCAGGGCGGCACCGGCTCATCACTCAGGTGTATCTCTCCCACACTGCCTGGACAGGTGAGGAGTCGGTCGGTCAGCGTGGGCAGGAAAATATGCTCCTGGGGATCACACCCACCCTTAGGCATCTGAGTTTTCACATGGTCGAATCAGGCCTGCTGAGAGTTGTACTTGATTTCTTAGGGAGCTTAACATCTCGCACCGGGTACATCTAGACTAACTTGCTGCATTGCTTTGATTGCAAGAGGCACAGGATTTTGTCAGATGATATACAGGTTACAGTAGAATGGCGTCTCATGGAAAGAGCTCTGGGCTGGATGCCAGGAGACTTATACTCCTGTCCTAACTCTGCCACTGACTTACTGCATAACCTTGGATGAGCCACTCTCCCTTCTGAACATTTCCTCACCTTTCCAATGAAGATGGTAATTCCCAGTCTTCTAGTTAGTTCTGAGATTGCTTTGTCTGGAAATTAAACAGTTTTGTATTTCTTACCAGACATTTAAATTCATTCTCTTTTTATATCTGAACAATTCAGTTCATTTCCCCCAAACAAGTAAAATGACAGCAGTTCCTGTCCTCCCCTCCTACATCGGCTGGTTCGTGGGGTAACACAAAATAAGATGACGTGATGTAGGCATGCTTTACCCTCCCTTACAGCAGCTGAAGAGAGCCTCGATAACTTGTGAAAAGACAGGGAGTTTGCATAGTTTGTTTGTTTTTTAATTCGTAAGAATAAAATGGGAGAACACAAGTGCAAAGACATTACATTTCAAGCATTGCTTTGGAAACTTGAAAAGGAGACTCGGTCAACAGAACCTAAAATGGGGGGTTGGGGGGGCGGAGAATTGGCTTCACTGGTATTTCCTAAATCATTCAAGATGGTTCAGAAGCATGGCCGTTACTGGAGAAAGTGTTTAATGCCACCAAGTTTGGTTTATTTTAGAAATTAGATGCTTTCTGGGATTTCCTTTCACTGTATTTTAAAATACATCAGTAACTATTGAATGCCATTATTAATGGTTTCCCTCTATCAGGGGTATTAGGTTATAAGTGTTAGTTATAGGTGACTTTATAAAGTTTTCAACAAAGAAGAAATGCTGTTGAATGTCAGGGCAGCCCCCTTGGGGGACTGGTGACCCTGGGCCTGGCACTAGTCCTGAGGGAACATCCAGCAATGCTTTCACCCAGGACCTGCCTCCCTACACATCCCTCATTTCATAACCTTGCTGCCTGGAATGTTTCTGTACTAGTTGCCAAACCTCTAGCCCAGCCATGGGCAAACTACTGCCCGCGGGCCGGATCTCGCTATGAGCTCACACAAACGCTCCATCCATGCTTTTGTTCCGGCCCTCTGGTCCAGTTTAAGAACCCATTGTGGCCCTCGAGTCAAAAAGTTTGCCCACCCCTGCTCTAGCCCCAAGGAAGGTAGAATTGCTTATTCTAATCCCTTCTGATGAACAGATTCTAGATGTGGGGAAAAGGCTGTGGGACAGCCTTGTCATGGAAAGTCCATGGCTTGAGGTGCATATCACAACATGCTAGAGCTCAAAGGAGCTTGAAAGGTCCTGGGGGGCCTACTTACCTGCCCCTGGTCATATAGCAAGTCATTGTCTGAACCAGGACTACAATCCAGGCTACCTTGAGCCCGAAGAATTATAACTCATCTAGGATCACTTACGTTCTCTGAGAGTTTGCTACCCAATCACTATTATAAATCTTTTATAATTCTCTGCGTGGCACTTACTAATGTTAGATGTTTTCTCATTTTTTTACTGCCTTTCTCTCCAATTAGAATGTAGGTTCCTCTAGAGCAGAGAACTTAATTGTTTTTACGTCTGTATCCTCAATACTTCTATATCCTATGTCCCTAATACCTAACATAATAGATGCTCAACAAATAATGAAAATTGAATATAGGATTTTATTTATTTATTTTTTTCATACATTTTCTTGATTTTTCACAGAGAGGAAGGGAGAGAGATAGTCAGAAACATCGATGAGAGAGAAACATCGACCAGCCGCCTCCTGCACACCTCCTACTGGGGATGTGCCCGCAACCCAGGTACATGCCCCCGACCGGAATCGAACCTGGGACCCTTCAGTCCGCAGGCCGACGCTCTATCCACTGAGCCAACCGGTTTCGGCTGAATATAGGATTTTAAATGTGCACTTAAAATTCATTGAATCCTTAGACCAACTTTCTGGGGGTAATTAGTATTCTATTCTTCATTTTATTTGTGTATAAATGGAGGCCCACTTAGCTGGTCCATGGTGGTACTGAGCTCCCACTGAGATTTCCTAACTCCCAAATCCCTTATTTTTTTCTACATTCCATGCTCCTGACCTGGGACACTAAGGTGAAACATTCTGAATGTACCTCTGCCTCCTTCTTCTAATCCAGGAGATGGGCTCTGGTGTTGGTAGGGAGCTCTTCCGTCCAGTCCCTCACAGCTCCCTACGAGTGGCCTGACCTCTGGGAGGCAGTGTGCTCCCAGGTCAGAAGCTTTGAGTCACATAGACCAGGTTCCAAATCCTCTCCCTTGCTGTGTGACCCTGAGCAAGTTATTTTACCTCTCTATCTTACTTATCTCTAAGATGGGAGTAAGAATGATACCTCATAAGAGAGATATTCTTCCAGAATATGACAAGTAGATGGCATGATTTGTCACAGATGATCTTTTGTCTCTTTCTCCCAGTCTCCTCCCTCTTCTTTTCTCTCCTTTTCCTCTTCTTCTGATGGCAGTGACTTGAATTGTCATTCTTACCCCAGTCTTAAGCGAAGGCATAATGACCAGGTGGAGTTTGTCCTCTGACCTTACCAGGGTTTGGCTCTTGAAAGTGCTGTGAGCCAACGCTGGGTTCTGGTCAGTGGTTGGCAACAGCCATCTGGGACAAAAGAGGAAAACATATTGGGGAGCTGAAACTGGGCCTGCTACCAGAGAGTAATGCTGGTTTCATTAGATACACTCAAAGCTGGTATAATTATGTGGGCGTGTCTCACCACATGAACGCTGGTCAGTGGTGATGCTCTCTGGGCTTGGCGAGGTTGCTCTAGCTGCCTGTAAGCCTTTCCTGGAAGATGGCAGTTCAGTCTCTGCTTTCATTTCCAGGGAGAAGTTAGGAAGAGTTTTGGGGGGCATTGAGAAGCCCTGGGACCTCTGCCCTGTTCATTTAGATCCATCCAGCCCTCCTTCCTGCCAAATGAACTTCTGAGCCTCAGCTCATCTCTAACACTTGTACTTTTTGCTCCAGATACAAAATTAAGAAAGACGTCCCAAGCCCATGCTGTTCCTAGCCTTTGAACTTGCCCTTACGTTTTTGTGAAATCCTCTCCCCCTTCTTTATTGAAGCCACATGGTAATAGAAACATTAATTGCTTCAGTGTTTGAGCTGGGCCCAAATTCTGTCACTGCCCAGGTGTGGGTATGGGCAGTCACTTAGAACTTCTCAGAATCTTGGAACTTTTTTGGGATTATGACAGTTTATTTCATGGTGTGGCAGGGTGAGAATTCTTGAGGTTATGGGCTTAGCACAGAGCAGTCCTGGGCTCCCTGCCCAGTGCTTCTTACAGACTCTGTTAGAGCATGTACTGTGCTCTGTGCAGCTGTCTGTCTCCCCAGCCAAATGGTCAGCAACTTGAGGGAGGTCTTTCACTGGGGCCTTCCACCTGCATGCACCAGTTCAGTTAAAGAGGTTTATATACCACTAAAGGACGGAAGGTTTAATGAAATGATTCTAGGTCCCTAAAACATGCTCCTATTCATGGGGAGAATGGTTTTTGTCAGAACCATTGCCTAACAGAGGCCTCCTCTCCACTGATACAATGGAGTGTGCGGTGCATGCAGCCCTGCGGCCTGAGGTCAGCTGCGCAGGAAGAGCTTGGTTATCTGGGCATGAGAATTGGCCACATGCGCCCTTGTGGGCCTCTGTCTGGAGGCTGGAAGCCCTCTACGGAAGCTTTGTAGCTTGCTCTGATCCTCAGCAGCTGTGGTGGGAGCCTACAGAGGCCTGAGCAGAAGGTGGTGGCAAAGAAGCAGGCTGAGGGTCAGCCTCACAGGATGTAGGCTGGGAAAGTGTTTGGTGGTGGGAAGGGAGGGATGTGGACAGATGAAGAAGTGTTCTTGAAACCCTACTGCTTCCATCTGTGATGTTGCTTTTATATGACATTTCACCCTAGTTCTAGCCATGCCCAGTCATAGATTTCTTGTGTCTTTTATTCCAGAACCATGCCAGGTGGAAGTGAGGCTGCTGTTGGCCTACAACTCCAACTCGCGCATTCCAAAATCCCCCTGGATGGAGGGGGGCGAGATATCGGCCCAGGCGGAAACCAGCATTGAGGGCACCATCCCCTTCAGCAAGTCTGTAAAAGTTTACATAATGCCCAAGCCCACGAGGCGCTGAGTCACAAGCAGTCTTTATAGCCTTGAAGGCCCTTCCTGGGGATCAGAGTGAGCCAGAGCCAGGAGGACTTCACCTGGAAATGGCGTTTTGGCATAAGGAGAAACAAGTGACCCTTAGAGTCTCACCTGGGATCAGACACAGATAAATTATTTTGCATTAAGAAAACAAAAACCTTCCTACTCTCCCCCATCCCTCCCTATAATAAAGTTGAGAAACCACCCAACTGGACCTTAAAGAAATTTGTGTGGTTTAGGTTCAACATTTTCTCCGTATGCTTCTATTCCTCGGGTGTGAAACAAAGATCCAATTTTCTAGCCACCTCCAAAGAACCAGTTATGAGTCATAATCTTTTTTCTTAAAGCAATAGTCTGCGGGGCCAACTCCAGAGCAGCTTCCACAGCTGTACTTTTTCACCATAGACAGTTCCTGAATGGCCTTCAACATCATTATCTGCCTGAGAGGCTCCTTCCATAACTCAGGCAATAGGTGGGCTAAGGACTGAATGAACAGCTGAACAATGAATCATTTCCATCCTTGAAGGGGATTCTTGATCTTGTCTGCCATTATCCTTAGACCCAAAATAAAATAAAAGGACTGTATTTTAGAAGAGAAATGGGATCATGGGAAAGCAGGATCCAGCGTAAGAAATAAAGCCACTTCCCAGTACATCTCTGATGACTCCAGTGTTGGAATTGCATGTGAGTTAAAGGTGCAGTTGGATGTAAGAACAGTAAGTCTTCCAGAGAAGTTAATGGTAAGGGCCTGTACCATGTTCTTTACCTGTCATATAATCCTCTCAACAGCCAGGTGAGACTTAAGAGGTTAAGTCACGGGTAGGAAAACTACAGTAACTAGTAAAGCTTTATTCATTCAGATCCCACTTGATTCCAAAGACCTGAGCTACACCACCATAGGGGAAGTACAAGAGCCTTCAAATCCTCAGCCCTCGATTCCTGTTTCCTAATCTGTGAAATACAGATAATGATACCTTAAGGATTACTAGATGGGATTAATTAACACATTGTACGTGGGAAACGTATTTATACGTTTTACGTTGACTGGTAGTAGAGCACAGGACATGTATTAATACGTTTTTTATAGACTAGCGGTAGAATGCGGGTAACGTATAAATACGTTTATTTTTATACTTTTTTATTGCTCTAAAGGGATGCTAACATGCAGATATACGAATTCCAAAGGATAAAAGTTGGGTCTCTAACACATACAATGGTGAATTATGTATGTACTTCCAGGTATAACGGTAATCTATTCAACTGCGTAGAGTCATCCCTTCACACAATTCTCTGCCTCGCCACGCATTCAGTGCAATTCTAAGAAAAATAATTCAGCATACATTTTATAGTAAATCACAAAAAGTTTCATTGAAAAAAAATATGTAAAACTAAAGTTATCGTAATTTTACTGAACGTTGCCATTTGCGCAAAAAATTAGCAAAAATGGCCCGCACCACCTGTTAGCACGCGATAAAAACTACCCGCAAACAATGTGTTAATAATGCTTGATAGAATCTGAATATGTGACCAGTCTTGATCGTATTTGGTACTTGGAAATCTAATTAAAATAATGGCAAGATCAGAAGTAGAGTTAGCATTTGAATTCAGGCATGATTGACTTTTGGTTTAATGTACTATTTTATTTATATATTTATTTGAAAAGTTTTTAATTGATTTTAGAGAGAGGAAGGGAGAACAAGAGAAACATCAATTTGAGAGAAAAACGTCGATCAGTTGCCTCCTGTATGCACCCCAACTGGGGAACGAACCCACAATCTAGGTATATGGCCTGACCAGGAATGGAATCCATGACCTTTCGGTGCACAGGACAAGCTCCAGTCAACTGAGCCACATGGGCCAGGGCTGGTTTAATGCACTTTAATGTGTGCCTGGTAGGGTTTAAGCCTGTATATGAGTTAACTCATTTAACCCTCACAACCACCCTATGAAGCAGGTACTATTCTCTTCATTTGATTAAAGCAATTGAAGTTCAGAGAAGTAAATAACTGCAGAGGTTACACAGCTAGTAAAGGACAGAGCTGGACTCTGAACCCAGGCTGTCTGGCTCCAGGAGGTCATAATCATTATAGACGGTCTGGAGGGAGAAAGATCATCTCCAAGGAGCTGACGTCCTAGTGTGCTCGCCTGTTTTGTACATCTCAAGGACGTGACATCAGCAGGCTCTTGTGTGACAACAATCGATGCCTGAAGAGAGTGCATGCCTTGGAGACAAAATGAAGCGTGACGCCAGGCTGAATAATACCATGGCCCTGACACAGGCACCTAATGAGGATCGTGGATTGGAGCATGGACAGCAACATAAGACCCATGGCTGCTGACGGAGCCCCTTATGCCATAGCTATAGGAAGCCTTTGAAGGAAAGAATATGGTGGATTCTTTTCAGATATAGTACTCCTTTTATAAAAATCCTTTTACAGGTTTGGAAACAGGCTTTGAGGTAATGTCTTTCTCCTAAGCGACAAAGCCAGGACTTGATTTTAGATCTTAAAAAACCAAAATATAGTATTTTTTTCACCAAAGATGGAGCTATTCTGAGGGGCAGATTTTGACTTAGTATCAGGATGTTTTAAAACTGAAAATATTGAATGGGCTGCACTAGGAGATAAGGAATTCTCCATGCTGATGTTTTCAAGCAGAGGTTGAACAAGCTCCTGACAAGTTTGTTCCGAAGGAATTCAAATATATGAAAGGTTGGGCTCAACCTTTTAAATTCCTTTTACCCTGAATTCTCAGGTTCTATGAAATGAGAATCTTGATATTTCTGCATCTGGTTCCACACTCTCTCACTGAAGTGAAATAATGGCACACTACAAGACAGGGAGGGAGCATAAAGATCACTGGTGTGGTGCCTTCGTTTTACAATGAAGTGCAAACCCAGGCCTCCTGATTTGGGTCCACTCTGGTTTTCATCACAGGAGTCTATTCTGTCTTAGCCAGCAGTCTGCACTGCACCCGGCAGTCAAAGCCAGAAACCGTGTGTCCCTTTGGACTCCTTCCTCAGCCCTCCTAGAAAAATAGTTGTCAAGTCCCTTAGAGTCTATTCTGGAAATGTAGATCGATTCAATCTCCTTCTCATTATACTATTTCTATCCTGATGCAGGCCATCAGCATCTCTCCTAAAAGGTAGCATTGGCTTTAATGATCTTGTCACAAATCTTACCCCCTTCAGCCCATTCTTCACACAGCTGTCAGAGTAATCTTTCTAAAACCCAGACCTCATCACACCATTCCTCTGCTTAAAATCCTGTAAGTGGATCACTTCTGGTCCCAGCATAAAGTCTAAACTATCCTTGAAGGATCTTCAGGCCCTTCTATCTTCTCCAGCCACATCCTCCCAGGCTTAGGGTTAGGGTTAGGGTTTTAGGGTTAGGGTTAGGGTTTTCGGGTTAGGGTGTTAGGGTTAGGGTTTTAGGGTCAGGGTTAGGTCCAGACATTTCTCTGTACTTCTCTAGATGTAATTACCGGCAGTTTCCAGCGCCCACCATGGTTTCTCTCACCTCAGACCTTGGACCTGCTGAGCCCTGGGTTAGGATTACGGTTGGGGTTGGGGTTGGGGTTAGGGTTAGGGTTAGGGTTTTAGGGTTAGGGTTGGTAGGGGTAGGGGTAGGGTTTTAGTGTTAGGGTTGGGGTGTTAGCGTTAGGTTTAGGGTTAGGGTTAGGATTGGGTCCTGACATTTCTCAGTACTTCTCCAGCTGTAATTATCAGCAATTGTTAGGGTTAGGGTGTTAGGGTTAGGGCTAGGGTGGTTAGGGTTAGGGTTAGGGTTGGTAGGGGTAGGGGTAGGGTTATGGGTAGGGGTAGTGGTAGGGTTTTAGGGTTAGGGTTGTTAGGGTTAGGGGTAGGATAGGGGTAGGGTTATGGGTAGGGGTAGTGGTAGGGTTTTAGGGTTAGGGTTGTTAGGGTTAGGGGTAGGATAGGGGTAGGGTTATGGGTAGGGGTAGTGGTAGGGTTTTAGGGTTAGGGTTGTTAGGGTTAGGGGTAGGATAGGGGTAGGGTTATGGGTAGGGGTAGTGGTAGGGTTTTAGGGTTAGGGTTGTTAGGGTTAGGGGTAGGATAGGGGTAGGGTTATGGGTAGGGGTAGTGGTAGGGTTTTAGGGTTAGGGTTGTTAGGGTTAGGGGTAGGGTTTTAGGGTTAGGGAGTTAGGGGTAGGGGTAGGGGTAGGAGCAGGGTTTTAGGGTTAGGGTTGTTAGGGGAAGGGTTAGGGTAAGGGTTGTTAGGGTTAGGGGTAGGGGTTAGGGTTAGGGTCAGGTCCAGACATTTCTCCGTCCTTCTCCAGCTGTAATTAACGGCAGTTGTTAGGGTTAGGGTTTTGTTAGGATTAGGGTTAGGGTTAGGGTGGTTAGGTTTAGGGTTAGGGTCAGGGTCAGGTCCAGGTCCAGGTCCAGACATTTCTCTGTACTTCTCCAGCTGTAATTACCGGCATTTGTTTCCAGCACCCGCCATGCTTTCTCTCACTTCAGACCTTTGACCTGCTGAGCCCTGTAATGTGCTCTTCAGACTGTCTCCTGTGGTTGCTTTCCTCTCATTTTTCAAGGCTGAGCTTACCTCTGTGTTTCCTGCGGGCCTGGTGGATTGCTTCTTTGTTCTCACCTATACATTCTTCAGTCATATTTATTTTATGTTCATAACAAGCCCCCAAGGAGGGAAGTGGGGGGAAATGATTCTATAGGTGTAGGGGAAGAGAACAGAGACTGAAGAATCCTAGGGGCAGTTGCTATTCAGCACCACTCATTTCTTTGTAAGTATGGGCCCGTTGGTATCAGATATTCTAGAAAAGCCAAAGTCTGTATTTTCATGTAAAAACCTAACTTAAAAAATCTTGGTTACTAAAGCAAATGTTAAAATTACTCTGCGACAAACTAAACACTTCTCCAGATAGATTTCTGCCAGTTTCCAACTTCTGCATCATCGCTGTGTATTCATATGTCTGTTTCTTCCAACGAGTATGTGAGTACCTGGACAGTAAGGATGTCTATGTTATATCCCCAGCACAGCTCCTGTCACATACCAGGCCAGGAAAGAATGAATGAATGTAAGAATCCAGAGCTAACTTAACGATGGCATGCCTGCAAAAGCCAGGCCTGAGATTCGAGTTTCTGAAAGGATTTTCTATTTGGCTTTGACATGATTGACTTCAGCAAACCAGAATTATGGGGAAGAAAGATACACACCTAGCACTTGGTAGACTTCTCTCAGAAACCACTCAAGCATGAAGAAATTAAATGTGAGCAGTGAGGGCTGTGCAACCTACAGATTGAATGAAAGGGTTTAATAATGAAGACAAGGACCAAGTACAGAGCTCCTCTCCAGGTTTGGCACATTTCCAGCATTGACCATGAAGAGCAGATTCAGCAGTGGAGCTATTAGCAGGTTTATATACGGTTTAATAGCCTCACTTCCAGATCTTCTGTGTCTTTAGAAGAATTTGTATTAAGTTCTCTTTAATGTGGAGACAACTCACTTAGGACACTGATTACACCCAGGCCTAATTCAGCACGCACTGGAGCTCTCATATTTGACCAAAAAAAGAAAAGAAAAATGTGATTGCATCAGTAGAAAATGAGTCTGAATTTTATCAAACATCCTAGCTGTCTATGTGCCTGGCTTTATGAGCTGAGGGAACTGAGATCTAGAAAATGCCTGTCCTCTGACAAATGCCTGGTTTGGGCAGAAAAGGGACTGAGCAGGACCTCCCGGGCCTCCAGGCTGGGTGTTAGGTGTGTGAGGACTTCGCTCCTGTAGCCTCCTGAGGTGTGTAGTAGGAAGAGGTGAAGACACAGCAGTGGGTCTTAAGTGTTTCCTCTCACCCAGGTATGTGCACTACAATAGACTTACAGACACAGTGTCTTAAACGAAAAGGGTAACTTTAATGGACTTTCAGGTAAGCACATATTTCGTTTAGATGGAGAGAAACTAATTAACCAGGAGTGTGGTGGGGCAATTCTGGTTATGGCTGTGAAAAATGCCATGTCTGGTAATTGTCTAGTTGAAGACTTGCCAAATATTTATTTGGTAAATAAAAGAATATCTTCTCCTTCTTTAAGACTCAGTTTGAAGTCTTCTCTAATTTTCTTTCCATCCTGGTAGGATAAGTTAGTCCATCCTGTATGCCATCTCTGGCCCTTGTAACTATTATAATGTTAACACACTGTATCTTTGTTGTCTGTTTATTTGTCTCTTTCACATAACTCCTGAGGGTAAGAACTATAACCAACTTAATTGCAGTACCCCCAAGGCCCAGCAATAACTGATCATAAGAAAATTAGTTAGAGACTTTAGTAAATGGGCATGAAAGAGAATTACTGAATAAATGAGAGAGAGTTGATAGTTCCTTTGGGCTCCATAAAATGAAATGAACTGGCTTTACACAGTAGCCCCATTAATAGAAAGATAATGACAATAATGGCTTCAATTTATTGAGTCCTTACCACATGCCAGGCAGTGTGCTAAGACTTTCTAAGAATTATCCATTTAAGACATTAACTCCAGGTACTAATACTACCCCTGTCTAACAGATGAGAACAGTCTAATTCTAAGGATTGAATAAGTGCCCAATCACTGAATGGCAGAAAGCCAGAGTTCAATGTCAAATCTATTTGACACCAAAGCCCTCACTTGTAACCCTTTGGAGGCTTGAGGGGGGGACAGATGAAAAATGAGGTGATGCTCATAACATTCTAGTCCTATCAGTCCGTCCTAAGCTTTATAAAGGTCACCTAGTCCAGGCCCATCATTTCAAACTGAGGGAGGAGACCCAAGGAGAACGGTCTGAAGAGCCTCAGGTTTAGTTAGAACAGTGGTGGACAGACAGATGTGAGCAGAGCAAGGACGATGAGCCAGGTGCAGGTCACCAGGATGGAAAGCCTCACCCCCAGGGTAACTTTTCCTCCCCTAGCATATTACTGGTCCTGAGGTTTGGACCCCAGGACCTTTCTTCCCTAGAGATAACATCTAGGCCTCAGTTGTATTTCAGCTCCAGGCCCAGATAAGCAACAAAACCAGCCACAGCTCACATCAGGATCAACTGCATGGAATGATGACCTCTGCCCTGGTGCTGGCCTATCATCAGTGGAGACCACAATCCTGAATATTCTATTAAGATGTTTTCCTGGCACCTCCCCTAACATCTCCGCCTTTAAAGTCCTGAGGAGGGAGGAGGACCAGTTGCCTTTCCCTTTCCCCTCCCTGCCCCCAGCGCATTGCCATAGCTTCCTCACTCACTCTAAGCTCCATAACTTGCTTCCTAAACCCACTTATTCTAGGAATTACTTCTTCTGCCTCTCTAATTTGCCAAATGAATGTTCTCTTACAGTTTGGGTCTTGCTCTGAATTCCTTCCTAGCCAGAATGCAAGTACTGAGGTTGCTGAATATACATACACTAGGCGCCCGGTGCACGAATTCATGCACTGGTGGGGTCCCTCGCAATCCAGGACCCCTCGGGGGATGTCCAAGAGCCAGTTTCGGCCTGATCCCCGCAGGCCAGGCCAAAGGACCCCACCGTGCACTGGGCCTCTAGTAAGGAATATTAATCATGCTCTGTTAACCATGACTGTTTTGTTCTCATTCTCAAGAAAGCACATTCTAACCTGGCTAGGAGTTGTACGCCCCAGGGACCTGGGAGTTAACCTTGGATTTGGAATCCGGCCCATTCCCATTTTATCATGGAAAGATTAGCAACCTTGTTGCCCAAACAATGGAGTCCCTCCCGCATTGCCTGTAACCTGTAACCATTATAATCATTCTTATTCCTTTTGCCTACTTCCCCATGTAATCTTTGTTCTACCCAATATAAGCAGCTGGCTTATGGGGCGGAGGGGGGAGGGGGCAGAAGGGTGCAGAGTAGGTTTTTGTGAGTGACCTGTTCCTCTCTCCCATACTGCTGGCATTATTGGAATAAATACTCATATATGATTCAACCCTGTCTCTGCTTAATTGGCTCAAGTACTGACAGGCAGGAACCCCTTGGTTGTCTGGTTTCATCAGGACAGCTCCTTTTACTGTTACTGAAGTGCTCTCTGAATTAATTCAAGATTCTGCCAGAGGCTCAAAGAGACTTCCCTTGACCACATATCTGAACTAGCCCAAATCATGCCTTATCTTCTTATCCTGCTTTATTCTCAACAGAGTCTCCTTACATTATGCATTTATTCATTTATTTATTTTCCCCTCTAGAATATAAGCCTCATGAAGACAAAGCTTTTAATGATGTTTCTCAGGAGTCTATAGCAGTGCTGGCATATAAGATATTTGATAAAGGTGAGTGGTGAACCTGAGATAAAATATGGCTAAAAGCTTACAGAGTAAGTGGAAAAGGAAGATGCGTGCTGAAAAGAGAAAAAAGAATGCCCCAAAGGAGCTTAGCAGACTTAAAAGTATTCTTAAAGTAGATACTGATGTTTTAATGAAAGATGTCCATGAGATAGCAACTGTGGTGGTCCCCAAACATTCTGAAGAGAAGACCCAGTGTGTGGTCAAAGATGACAAAGATGACATGAAAATGGAGACCGGCATTAAGAGAAACAAAAAGAGTCGTCTAGACCAGCATGGACAGAACCCCATATGGATGAACCAGAGGCAAAGAAAAAGGCTGAAGGCAAAGCGAGAAAAAGGAAAGGGGAAAAGCAAAGCAAAAGCAGCGAAGGTGGCGAAGGGTTTGGCCTGGTAGACTTTTAAAAACCTGAAAAGTGCCACATGGGGCAGATCTTTGATTAGAATGTATACACCTATTTCAGCTTCTGTCAAATGAAAACCATTTTTTAACTGGGCCTTTTTCTTCAATTCAAACCCAACATAACACCTCAAATTTGTTTTAGGAATTTGAATAAAATATTTCCTTTGATGAATGAAAAAAAAAAGATATTTGATAAATACTGGTTGACCTGATGGCTAAACATTCCAAGGCATCAATTGCAATGTGATTTTAATGCACTGAAGTTTTTCTTGTCCTTCAAAGAAAAAGTTTTTTTCTTTATTTTTGCCTTTATTTTCTCAAACTGGCCTAACACCATTTTTTAAAACTTTGATAACTGTCCATCTATTCTCCTGACTTTCAGTGTCCCCCTCCCCGACTAAGGACAGGAACCTTACTGTAGTCACCCATGCATCCCAAAGCCTTCCTACCTCAGGACCTGGCATGTGCAGCTGTTCAAAAATGCTTGACACCCAGCCGGCGTGGCTCAGTGATTAAGCATTGATCTGTGAACCAGGAGGTCATGGTTCAATTCCCGGTCAGGGCATGTGCCCAGGTTGTGGCTCAAACCCCAGTAGGGAGTGTGCAGGAGGCAGCCGATCAATGATTCTCTCTCATCATTGATGTTTCTATCTCTCTCTCCCTTTCCCTCTCTGAAATCAGTAAAAATATATGTAAAAAAAATAAAAAATAAAAATAGCCCTGGCCAGTTCAGTGGATAGAACATTGGCCTACAGATTGAAGGGTCCTGGGTTTGATTCTGGTCAAGGACACATGCTCAGGTTTCGTGCTCAATCCCCAGTGTGGAGCATGCAGGAGGCAGCCAATCAATGATTCCCTCTCATCACTGACGTTTCTCTCTCCCTCTTCCTCCCTCCCTCTCTGAAATCAATAAAAAAAAAGTAAAAATAATGCTTGGAGAGGCTGGTGTGAAGAGTGGTAAGAGTGGTAGTCTCAGGCATTATTGCTTAGTGATTTTATTTATTTTTAAATTTTATTTTAGAGAAGAAGGAAGAGAGAGAGAAAGGAGAGTGAGAGAGAAACATCAATGTGAGAGAGAGATATTAATAAATCAGTTGCCTCCCACACTCACCCCAACTGGGGATCGAACCCACAACCTTCTGGTGCACAGATGCTCCAACCAACTGAGCCATATTGGCCAGGACAGTGATTTGTTTTAAGGCTTCATCAGCAGGTGGAATGGAAGACCCCTCCGACCCTGACACCTTGGGCAGCCAAGGCATTGTACTCCTTTACGGCCTTCTCTGTCTGGAGTACTCGTACATCAATGCCTTGTTTCTCAAGGTACTCCAGGGTTGATGGGGGGACCTAGGAGGAAGGAAAAAGATGAATAAGTGGTGGGGGGAGGTCCCCAGGGTTTTCTTTCTGCCGTGAAGCATGTATACTCTACAGAATTAGACAGGGACAAGTGTCACTCCTCAATCACCCAGAATGTCACTGTTCCAAAAAATTTGGCCATGAGCCCCAGGGTGTTAAAAAGGCTTTCTAAGAAGTTGACAGCAATATCATGATATGTATGCATAAATCTCAGACGATGAAAAAAAATCTCAGATGAAATGGAAAAAGCACTGATTTTGGAGTTAGCCTTGGATTTAAGTCCTTGCTAGCAGTGTGACCCCGGGTAAGTGAATTAACTTCTCTGCATCTTTGTTTTTTTGTATGGAAATAGGGATGATAATACCTAGCTCTCAGGGTTGGTATGAGAACTAATTTAGCGAAGGTATGTAAATGTCTGGCATGGTGCAGACCCCAAACCATGTAAATGTTAAATGTTTTAGTCAGTCCAACCTGAGCCTAAATTCTAACTTTGCCATGTACCAACCAAGAGATCTTAAGCCAGCTATTTAAAGCCTCTCAACCCCAATTTCCTCCCCTGTAAAATGGGGTAATGATACATTACAGGGTTGACGTGAGGATGAGGTTAACTAGTGTATGCATACTGCAATTAAAATGTCTTCTCAGAAAAGCCTCTTGACCACCCCATTGAGAGGAGCCCCTCAGAAGTCAACATTTTCTTCATAGAATTTATTATGATCTGAAATTGTATACTCTTTTATGACACATACGGGTCATGAACCTTGTTTTGTCTTATCTTGTTGTCCCCAGTGTGACAAGATAGAATAGTTTCTAACCTATAGAATATGCTAAATAAATATTTGTAAATGAATTTATATAAAAGTTTCTCAATAATGGAAGCTATTATTAGATATTCTCAACTCTGGCTTGTCCTGAATGTTTTCTATATGAACAATTTTATAATAACAGTAGCTTTATAGATAGGAATTATTTTAACAAGAAAAAAACTAGGTTAAACTGAAAATTCTCTCTCTCTCTCTATATATATATCCTATCTAATAAAAGAGAAACATGGTAATTAGCCATATGTCCACTACCCTTCCCATTGGCTAATCAGGGTGATATGCAAATTAACTGCCAGCCAAGATGGCAGCCAGCAGCCAGGCAGCTTGAAGAGAACATGAGGGT